TGGTTGTTTTTGCATTAATTGCTACTTCATTAATCTTTATACCATGGAATAAGGTTTGATCCTATTCATGGAGATTCCGTAACTATTCCAAAAATGGAAAGTTCGATACAATTGGGATTTTTTTGGAAATTGGAAGCAGTTATAATTCATGATCTGGCATGTACAGAATGAAAACTTCATTCTCGATTCTACGAGAATTTTTATGAAAGCCTTTCATTTGCTTCTCTTCGATGGAAGTTTGATTTTCCCATATCCTAATTTTTGGCCTAATTCTTCTTCTGATGATCGATTTGGCCTTTGCATCAATTGGATATTGCTTTTCTTCATGGTGATCTCCATGAAGAGGTATATATGGAGCAACCATCTGGTTTTGTTTTTCAGGGGGAGTATGGGAAGGTTTGTCATTTGAAGAGATCCTTATATGGCTTGAAGTAGTCCTCAGGCTTGGTTTGTTAAATTTAGTGAAGCATTTCAAGAATTTGGGCTGAAAAAAAGCAAATGTGATCATTCTATCTTCTACAAGCAATCAACAACTGGATCTATTCTCCTTGTTGTATATGTGGATGACATTGTTATCACAGGGAGCGATTATGTAGGAATCTCTTCTCTCAAGCCTTTCTTGCATACTAAGTTTCATACAAAAACTAGGGACAACTGAAATACTTCTTGGGAGTAGAAATAACTAGAAGCAAGAAGGGAATTTTTCTATCTCAGAGAAAGTATATTCTTGACTTACTAGCAGAAACTGGTAAGCTGGTTGCCCAGCCTTGTAGTACTCCAATGGTTCCTAATTTGCATCTTATGAAAGATGATGGCGATCCATTTAATGATCCAGATAGATACAGGAGGTTAGTTGGGAAATTAAACTATCTCACAGTGACTCGTCCAAATATTGCTTTTGTAGTGAGTATGGTTAACCAGTTCATGTCCGCGCCCACAGTTAAACATTGGGAGGCTTTGGAGCAGATCATATGTTACTTAAAAGGAGCTCCTGGACTTGGCATATTATACAGCAATCACGGCCATTCTCGCATTGATTGTTTTGCAAATACAGATTGTGCTGGATCCAAGATTGATAGAAGATCTACTACTGGTTACTGTGTAATTGTTGGTGGAAACTTGGTATCATGGAGAAGTAAGAAATAAAATGTTGTATCTAGGTCCAGTGCAGAATCCAAGTATAGAGCTATGGCACAATCAACGGGTGAGATAATGTGGATACATCATCTCTTAACTGAAATTGTGTTAAAGCATCCTACTCCATCAAAACTCTGGTGTGATAATCAAGTTGCACTCCATATTGCCTCAAATCTAGTATATCATGAAAGAACCAAACATATTGAATTTGATTGTCATTTTATTCGTGAGAAGATTCAGGAGAACTTGATTTCCACTGGCTACGTGAAGACAGCAGAGCAGCTAGCTGATTTGTTCACTAAAGCATTGAATGGCACTCGAGTTGATTACCTTTGTAACAAGCTGGGCATGGTCAATATATATACTCCAGCTTGAGGGGGAGTGTTACAGAATAACCTAGACACTTTACACAATGAATATAAAACTGTTTTTTAGTAGTGTACATAACCCATATATAGATATCAGATTTGTAGAAATCTCTTTTATTTCTTTCCTTAGTTAGCACCTGATGTTTATGTATATATATGTATCACTACATGGAATAATATACCAATTTGATTCTTCCATACCTTACAAATATTTTCATGAAAATTCTGCCTCCAAATGTGTTGAGAAAACATAGATAAGAAGGGACGAGTTCATGGGAAAAAATGGGTAGTTGGAGACTAAGCGGTGTGGCAAACTAAAGAGGGAAATGTGGAAAAAGAGAATAATAAGCAGTCACATAGCTAAGTTATAAAATAATTTGCAAATCCGACCTTAGCTCAGTTGGTAGAGCGGAGGACTGTAGTCGGTTGATCCGCAGCTAATCCTTAGGTCACTGGTTCGAATCCGGTAGGTCGGATAATTCTTTTGGTTCTCTTTTTTTGTGAAAGTTATCGTTTGGTGTATATGGAGGTTCGACATGAAGACTAAACATCGATTCCTTCCTCGTAAAATTATATCCAAGAAAATAGATACATAAATGGAGACAAGTTGTCGTACCTCCATATACACTAAATGATAAAGAACACATGCATGTTCTCAACCTAAGATTGAGTAGTCTAAACCCTAATGCAAGTGTCTATGTGAATGTGAATAAAATGTAATATGAATAATGACAGCATGATAGATACTATGAATGGAATCCAATTTACATTATTAAAAGTTTTGCAAAAAATATGCAAAAGATTATAATAAGAATAATCTAATCATTGGACCTATTGTAATCACCATGTCCCATCTTTGGCCTTTGGGTGGCAATAATTAATCCTCCAGCAAGAGACCAACCGAAGAGAGTGATATATTAATTCACCGCAAATACGTGGAGTTTGACAGTTTTCTAAAATCAATGAGATTGAAGAATAGCTCCTCAAGTATTTATAGCATAGTGCAGGCTGAGTTAGCAATTTTAGCTAAGAATGGACTGAGATAAAGGAAATACCAACAAAGAATGGGTGGGAGTTGTTCATCTAATTTTTCAGGTTACAATCTCATAAGATAAGGAAATGCTAACGAGACTAGAAAGTTAAAACAGCAGTTTTATTTGGCAAACGGAAATATGATAACTTCGGGAGAAGGGGTGCTCTCCTATCTTTTGATTAGGAAAGCGGCACATATCAGGAGTAGCGACTGTTTATTAAAAATACAGGACTCTGCTAAGTGGTAACACGATATAGAGAACAGAATGAAAGTCCGAGTACAGTAAAACTATCACAAAATAAATATTAAAAAAAAAACAATACTATCACATTTATTTATAAAAACTGAAAGTAAATCGTAAAACAGTCTTTGTGCTTGAAAAACGAATATTTAGAGCGATCCCTTAACAGAGATTACCCACCATTCATGCAGTAGGTATGAGAGAGGTTTAGTTGTTGGAGCAGCAAGATTGCATGTTTACAAAGTGCATCACCCATACCATTATTACCATGATACAGTGATTTTTTGGCATTTTTCTTGTGGTTCAAAATAAGTGATTTTTCCAGATTTCAAGAATGAATTAATTATTTTTTTCCTACATTGTCCTTGGAGTAAATAGTGTTGGAATATGTGTTAGGAGTGTTTATGTGAGATAGTAAAGGTTAATATGGTCAATTCTATTGCTAATTAATGCTAAAAGGTGGATTTCTTAATCTGTGTGAAAACATCCAAAAAATCACTTATTTTGGACCGGGGGGAGTAATATGTGTTTGGGCTAAACTAGCCCAAAGACTCTTAACATGGTGTGATATTGTCCGTCTTGGGCCAAGCCCGCATGGTTTTTCCCAAAAGGCCTCACACCATTAAGAGATCCCTACACCTTATATGTAGACTCTCAATCTTTTCAGCTACCAATGTGGTAGTTTGTTCGCACACCCAACAATATGATCACCAGATTCTTCAAAGAACCTAAAATTGACACTGAATAGATAAACATGGCCACAAATCATATGATTTCGATTTTCTTCCTTGTAATGGTGCTGATTTCATCTGTTTCTGCAGCAAACAGTACCTCAAGATATCCTGGAAACTATTGAAGAGATGAGAAGAGCCAACTATTTCACCTTTGTAATATGGCCCCTGCAGACCTTATTCAAGGAGACATCACTTTCTTGATGCCAAAAGATAAGACACTTTCACAAATCTTGATCCCAGAAAACGATTCCTGCTCAGACATTCCATACATCACCATTGCTTTTCGACCACCTCAAACACTTGTCAACAGGCTCCATAATTCCAACTTCCAAACCCGACCTTGTCCTGAAAAGTGACCAATTCTGGAAACATGCGTATCTTTCTCAACAATGCCCGAATAGCTAGTCCAAATATATGTAATAAAAGTGCTTCCATCAGATGCCATGGTATTGATCAAGTCCTGCAGGAAGCCACCACCTTGGCATCTGATATCGATCATAATGCAACTCTTCCTATGTATCCACCTTGTCATAACGTTACAAGTCCGCCTTTTGAGCTAACAGCATCACCTCCTGTCATGTCACCACCATCAGTCAGTAGCAGTTTTAATCCAGTTCTATCACCTCTGAATTCTGGTGCTCAATATCCTCCAGTAGCTTGGAGTAACCATGTAGGAATAACTAGGCTTATCTGGTTGCTGGTGGCCCTGAAGTTGTCTCTTTGATTGAAACTTGGGATTCAAGTTGAAGCAAAGAATGAGAGCAAATTTGTACATGGAGGCCGGGCTGATATATAGATACACTTCTAAATATATGTTGCTTATGGTATTTCTGGTTGTCTACAAGATTTGTTGTTTTAAAGTATTAAACATTGTATTCTTGTGTTATTTTGAAATTCAACAAACTGCGGAATGATTTGAAGTTACTGGTTGCGAAAAGAAAGGACGTTTTAGGGCCCAAAAGACAACTACCAATTAACTGAATAATGTAGAGATAAAAATGGATCCGTATTTAGAGCCCGTTTGGACATAAGAATTTTTTCACTTTTTTTCGAAATCAATGTTTGGCCATAACTAACGAGGATTGAGGCTCTCTTCGTGCTTAGCTAGCGAAAATGACAGCAAATTGTTGGAGGCTGGAGCAAACTCCTTATTAAGTGACAATCACATATTGTATTTTCAAGCACAGTGAGTACGATACCGTTAGAAAATAGAAGGAAAACTATCGTGATATTAAAAGAAAAGGTTAAAACTAAAATTCAAAAAAAAAAAAAAAACACATCCACTAAATTAAGTACCTTCTAAGTTATTCAAACAGAAAATAAAAGAAACAACAACAAACCCAGCAGTTTCCCACAAGTGGGGTCTTTGAAGGGTAAGATCATGTACGCAGCCTTACCCCTATCCGTGGAAGAGCAGAAATGTTGTTTCCGATAGACCCTCGGCTAGAGAACGGAAGCAGAAAATAAAAGAAAAAAAAAACTGTATTTCATTAATATTTCTGTTTGGCTAACCTGAGAAATGCCGACTTGCAGCAGTAAAGCAGTGGCTGAGCTCGTGCATTAACAAAATGGATGCTTCTTTTTTTTCTTTTTTGGTAGAAAGGATATATATATGTATAAAAAACAGTCATTACATTAGTAGAGTGGTGACCATTCACGTTAGGGTCACTAAGTACACTTAAGTTATAAAAACTAGACAGATTACTACAAGTAGAGATAGTTATTAGTAGTGCCTATTCCTTCCTGGTCAGCCTGCATTTCCTTATCAACATAGTGCAGCGGTGATGAGAAGATGGACTGATGGTTGGATAGAACTCCCTTAGATGATTGTTGAGCCAAAATGTTTGCCACTTTATTGCCCTCAAGGAAGCAGTGGTGGATCACTAGATTCCCCAGTTTCTTCAACAGGTACCTGCATTCGGAGATTTAAAATCATATGTATGCTCCAGAAACTGAGTTACATCTGTAGAGTCTGTTTCGATTATTAGTGATGAAAGGTGATGCTCCACTGCCAGTTACAGTCCCTGTTTGAGTGCCAGCAATTCCATATGAGTAGCACTGTAAGCATAAACAGCCATTGCAGCACCTATGATCCAATTACCTTCCGAGTTTCTAACAACTCCTATAAGCCCACCCAGTTGTTGAGAGCTTTTAAATGATCCGTCAATGTTAAGCTTAAGAGTTACTAAGGGAGGGGGAAACCAAATAATGAGGATCGACAACTGGTTGTTGGAGTTTTGGCGGGTGGATTTGAGGTATTTAAATTCCAACGAGCGGTTGAATACAAGTGAAGAAGGTAAAGTGTTGGTTAAGTTATTGAAGATATCGTTATTACGGTTTAATCATAGGTGTCATAATGTGAAGGGGAAGAAGTTGATCCAATCAAGTAGCACCGTTTGGAGAGGAGACTGAAGATCACGAAGAATTATTAGCCAGGAATCTTGATGATTGAGGAATATGGAATTGTCAATTCCCACCTGTTCCGAGAATTGTTTCGCGATAGGGCATTGGATGAAGATATGATAGGTAGATTCCTTGGCATTATTGCAAATGGGGCATGTGGGAGGGACGTTAATGCAGGTGATGAAGATATTTTCAAGTAGGGTGACAATTATGTTAGCATTGGCAAATAAAGAATCGGATTTTTCTCAAGGTAGGAAGTTTCCAAAACCATTGGAAATTGGCAGTAGGCAGTGGTTGTGGATTAATAATGTTATAAGATCTGGAGTTGAAAATGCCATTTGGGCTGGGAAGCCATATGGCAATATCAGGTTGGCTTTGATTAGTGGAGATAGAGAGTTTAGAGATTTTTTGACTAATTTCCTCTGGGAGGTGAAGAGACAATTTTTGGCAATCTCAGTTTTCAATATACCAAAGGTCTGTCGCTTTTTGTTGTTCGGCAGATTCCGTAAAGGGACGTTGTATGATGGAACGAAGGGGAGGTGTATTTGGAATCCAGGAGGAATGATGCAGGCTAATGTGTTTGCCATTACGCAGATGCCAGCCCAAGCCTTGCGCGCAAACTTTCCAACCACGGACAATATTCTGCCAGATAAATGAACAGTTGGAAAAGTTTTCCCTACTGCCGAGACAGTAGCCCATAATGAACAAGGGTGGGTAAATAGCCTCCAAGTGAGGCTATCCAGAAGGCAGTGTTCTTATGGATGGATTTGCGGAGACCTAGACCTCCATGGTCTTTAGGTAGAGTAATATTATCCCAGCTTAGGTAGTGAACCTGTTTGCAAGTAGTATTTGAACCCCAAATGAAGTCACGTTGGATCTTTTTTTTTTTTTTTTGATTTGCACCGGGTGTCCGAGTCTCTAAGAGCCCCGACTAATCCCGGGGGTGCACAGGCTCTCGGCAAGGAGTTTCCCGCAAGTGCACCACGGTTAATTCAGGTTTTACCCAGTCCGATGGCCCTCGGAAATTGTTTGCACCCAGTGGGTTTCGAACTTGAGACCTTGAAAGGGAGCAAACCCCAAGGCTCAAGTCTATTGCCACCAGGCCAACCCCTAAGGGTTGAAGTCACCTTGGATTTTGTCTATGGACTTATGGACTTTTTTGGGGAAATATATGTATTGCATGGCATGGGTAGGAATAGCATTGAGGGTAGTTTCTGCAAGAGTGGCTCTTCCTGCTAGTGAGAGGAAGTTGGTTTTCCAACTGGTGAGTTTGTTCCTCATATTATCAATTATGTGCTGAAAGTCAGCTGGCTTGGGCTTATGGTTTAGGATTGAAAAACCTAGGTATTTACCAAAAGAGTCCGTAGCGGTGATATTAAAAAGTTGGGAGATGGAGGATAATCAAAGGAGGGCAGTTTTGGAGATACAAACAAGTCTAGACTTAGAGGTGTTAATTTTGTCCCGAAAGGGAACAAAAATCATTGAGACAGTGATTAATCGTGTCAGCTGATTTCATATTAGCACGAGCCATTAGTGTGAAGTCGTCGGCAGGGGCAGATCCACGTGGAGGGGGTATGGGGCACGTGGACCCATGCACCTCTCCCTAAATTGTGTATTGCATTGGTATTTTTCTGGTAAAATACTTATATTTTCATGTGGGAACCCATGCTCAAAAGAGCATTTGGTGCGGTGGTTGCACAGTGCCCCTTTGACCCTCAGGTCTAGGGATCGAATCCATACCCTATCTGTTAATTGAAAGCCAGTTTTCTATTTCTTCTTTTTTTTTTAATAAGATAAAGATTTTATTGAATGGTACCAAGATGGTACAGAAGATAACAAGGAAACAAAAAACAGCCTATTACAATCTTCTTCCTAACAACTCCAACAAATCCATGTACTAATCTGAACTAACTAGTGGGCTTGATTTGCACCAAAGATACAAATTTTGTAAACAAATGCTCTTAATTCTAGCAATTGGAGTTCTCTGTCCTTCAAAGCAAGCCTTGTTCCTTTCGAGCCATATTGTCCATAAGATGCACAATGGGATAGTTCTCCATATTTGCTTTATCTCTTTTGATATCACCTGATGCTGCCAACCTACCATCAACCCCTTCACGTTCTGAGGCATCACCCATGCAATACCACAAATATTTAGGAATAACTCCCAGCATTCTCTAGAAAATCTGCAATGGAAGAACAAATGTTCAACTGTTTCTTGATCCTCTGGACACAGGTAGCATCTGTTACATAGGGAAAAGCCTCTCTTCTGCAAGTTATTTTGAGTTAAGCATGCCTCCCAGGTGGCGACCCATCCAAAACATGCTACTTTCACAGGAGCTTTTGTCTTCCATATCATCCTCCATGGCCAAGAAGTATCCCACTGTCCTGACTGCTTTATCAACATACTGTAGCAATTCTTGACTGAAAATTTCTTGTCTTTACTTGCCACCCAGATTAGAGTATCCATCTTACTATGATCAATATAAACTGATCTCAATTGCTGAAGCAGCTCGCAAAATTCTACTATTCCCAATCATTCAAATTCCTTCGGGTGACAATCTGCCAACCAGAACTAGAATGAAAATGAGCAACAGTACCATTCTTATTTGTCGAGCAATTGAATAGAGTAGGAAATTTATTTTTAAAGCATTCACCCCAACCCATACATCTGTCCAAAACCTGATTTTTACTCCATTTCCCACCTCTAATCTAGTAAACTTGCTAAACTCTTCCCAATGCTTACTTATGCCCTTCCATATTCCCCCATTTACAGTTTCCACCCTTCCTGCTTTCCGTAGATGGCATTTATCAGCTTTTTCCAAACTTCCTTACCTTCCAAGCTATATCTCCACAACCATTTGAATAGTAGACTTTTATTATGTAGCTTCAAATTTCTCACACCCATCCCACCCCCTTTCTTATCCCTGAGAAGCACCTGCCATTTCACCAAATGAATTCTTTTCTAATCTACATTATCATCCCATAAAAACTGATTTCTCAATGAGTTTATTTTTTTCTCCACTGAAACTGGCATTGAAAATAAGGACATTAGGTAGGCATACCATCTAATACACTGTTAATAAGAGTGAGTCTGCCTCCAAAGGATAGATATTGTTTCTTCCATGGAATAAGCTTATTAGCACATCTGTCCAGGACACCTTGCCAAATACTCTGATCATTCCTTCTTGCCCCTAGTGGAAATCCCAAATAAATAGTGGGGAACTTCTTTTTTTCTTCTTTCCTTTCTATACCCGTTCTTTATTTTTTGTTTCAATTGAAAACCCACACCCTATGACCCTAACTTTCTTTTCTGTTTCTTTTTTTTTCCCTTCGTTCTTTCTCTATTTTGGTTCACTCTTTTACCTATCTTTGGATTAAATTCTTATTTTTCTAATTTTTTTTTCTGGTTGGATTCCCTTTCCTTTTTCTTCTTTTGTATTTTCTTCATTTTTTTTTGGTTCAATCTTTTGAGTTTCAAAACTCTAAAAAGGTGAAATTCTAAGTTAATTTGAGTTTTCTTCAATTTCAAATTCTCTCTTTCTTCATTTTCCATTCTCTTTTCGGATAACTGTTTAGTTTTATTATGTAGAGCCAAGTATTTGTAACTATATTACTATGATATTATTCTCCAAGGCAGGAAACTATCATTGATATTTGTCAACGGAATGATGAGTTTTTGTAATAATAATATTGATTGTAGTTTACTTATTAAGCTATTGTCATGGCAAAATTTTAGAGAATCAAATCAATTAATAGTGCATCCGTCTACATAAAATTCTGGATACGCCTCTGGTCGTCGGCAAAGAATAGAATGAGATAGTTGAGGACTTTTCTTATAAGGGAGATTGGATCCCAAGCCATAAGATACACTTGATGGTCTATGCAGACTGAGAGCAGCTCCATACATAAGATAGATATGGGCACATAGGATCTCCTTAACGAATGCCCCTAGTGGGTTTAAAGAATTTTATGGGGGAACTATTAACAAGGATAGCAATGATGCTGCTGGATACACAACTCATCATGAGTTTAGTGATTTTTGGGGGAATTTTGAAATAAGTAAGAGCTCTACGTATAAAAGGCCATTCAAGCCTATCGAATGTCTTTTCCAAATCAATTTTGAGGATTAACTTGCCCTTAGCGCCTTTGGTAGAGTTGAGGTGGTTGATAACTTCTTGGATAATAATGGCATTATCACTGGTACGCCGCTCTTGTAGGAAGCTGGATCGACAGAGGCTGATCAATTTATGAAGGAAGGGCTTGATACAATTCACCATGACCCCAGTGATCACTTTGTAAATAGTATTGCAAAGACCTATCGAGAGGAAGTTATTTAGATTATTAGCATTATGGAATTTCGGCACCAAACAGAGGAAAGTGTTGTTGACGCGATCGGTGATGGATAGAGAATCAAAGTATTTATGGCAGTATTCAGGGATAGATTTTCCAACCACATTCTAGTGTCGTTGGTAGAAGAATGGACGAAAACCATCGGGCCATGGGGCTTTGAAAGGGTTGAATGAAAAGAGTGTCTTAATAACCTCGTAATCACGAAGGAGACTATCAAGGCATGAGAGGTCAATGTTAGTGAAGGCAGTGGGAGGTGTGTTCAAATTCAGTCGAGGGGAGGAGTACTGATCAATGGTGCAAATACTTTGGAAATAGTGCAGAATATGGCTAAGGAGTTTTTCATGATTGGTGATCCAATTGCCATGATCATCCTTCAAGAACGATATACGGTTGTTCCTACGCGTATCGGTAACAGAAATGTGGAAGAATTTGGTGTTGGCGTCTCCATCATTATCCAATTAATAGGAGAGCGCAACTTCCAATAATCTTCCTCCATCTTGAGGATGTTGTTATAATCTCGTTAATGAGATTATTTTCTAATTCTCTAAGGAATTGGCTGTAGTAGTGGGAGGAGTTATTGATGCCTCTTAACATAGAAAGAATTCTGTTATTGTTGCCAAAAAGATTGCCTAAGTTAAGCCTATTCCAAGCCCCAATTTTTTGGTGAAAACAAGCAGTGGCTTCCGCCAAATTTTTATTACACCAACTACCATGCAGGAGATTTGCGAACTCGGGGGGTGTACACCAAAAACTTTCTAGACGGAAGGATTTTTTGGAGACGCACCTATGTGAGGGTGTAACAGTGACTAGCAGGGGATTATGACCGGAATATGTTTTTGGAAGATGCACAACAGTAGAGTCGGGATAATTTTCTAATCCAGCCTCATTAGCAAAGCAATGATCAAGTCGTTCTAGAATAAGTCCATTCCTACGATGTGTATGGTTAGACCAGGTATACCGATTTCCTTTAAAGCCTAAGTCTAATAAGTGGCAGTGGTTAATGCAAGATCGAAACCTATTAGATCTATTCCTAACAAAATGGATTCAATGCTTCAAAAACGCGTGATATTACCACAAGAACAATCTACCCAAAGGCATAGGATGGGGCCTTTTGTTTTATTTTGGCTTGTGTAAAGGTTAATACTTGATAGGTAGCCCTGATGGCGAGGCTTTGCCACTACATATACTCATCATGTTTGACAGATAGTCAGATACATAATCCACTTCTATAGAAAGAAAACAATATATTGCAGCATTAAATAAACGTAACAAAGCATTTAAACAGAATCTACAAAAATTTAATGTGCATTTCTATAATTAAGAGATAACACATGCTATCGATCTCAGTAGTTTTCCGAAGGTGCTACCTATAATTATTTCTCGGAACTCGATCATCGGAGACTTTAATCACTCCCACCTAAAGAGTCTTACTCTTATTCTTACACTTAAAACATATTTTTCTAGGTAGAATGGAAAATTGAAAGCACTCAAAAGATGGGTTTAGTTAGACAAAACAAAACACTCTCGCCCAAAATAAAAGATAAATCTAATTAAAATTGTAATTCTTAAATCACATGAGAGAAGGTAAGTCCTGACTGAGCAATTAAGAATGAAATAGCTTTGAGGCATAGAGAATACCTTTTTCTAGCACTACCACTGAAGCATAATAGTTGTTGCACCATAGATGCTAAGTATTAAATGATAGCTTGGGAACTAAACATAATAACCACCACAGCTGCTTGCTTATAAATGAAGAAGGCTCTTCTTTGCAAATTCAGGAAGTTCCGTTATGTAGCTCTAGAGGTGACGATCTTGAACATAGCGTAAACCACAGTACTTGCATACTGCATGCTCTTCCAGATCAAGGCATATAAACTCAATTGAATGCCTAAGAGCAGGATTAGTATCTGTATCAGAAGAAAAGAGAATATGGATTTGTAACAGAATTATCTTTAAGCAACTAATAAACATTTTTTTTAAAATCATCACTGTTACCTCCTTCACAGGCAACAATCCTACCCTGAGCTTTGATACGTGGAACTTTATTAATCAATTCCATTGGAGATTTCTTGCTTGTAGTGATTGTTGGAGTTAACAAGATATGCTACCTGACCACAGAAGAAGTTGAGTTTAGGACCTTAAAGGATAATCGCCTAATTTTAGGCAGTAAGGTATACTGGAGCCTACGAACGATATAATCCGCTATAGGACTCATTCGTCAAAGCAAATAAGCATCCTGTCACCTCATATCTAGAGAAAAGAAGAATGGATACAGATATAGCAATGAAGTCAAAGATAGAATAGAAGTTAATTGCAAAACTGATAAAGGAAACATTTCTGTCAGGGAAAATGAGTACCTTAACGGATGAGTTGCGCCACATTCATTTCTGCCTGATCCAGGCCCAGGCGCAGCCCACTCGGTCCATTCAGCCCAATAGCCCATTCACCTACATAGGGTTGAAGATATTTATTTTTTAGCATGTGGTTTTACCAATTTACTCCTGGCGTGTATATAAATATATTGTGTTATCTGTGAATTATGGTGGTGGATTCTCAGTTTCTTTACCCTAATACAGCCGCCCCACTCTCCATTTCCCTCTCCTAACTTTCTTAATCTTCTTTGGCCTCTTCATGTGATTTCTGATTTTCTGTGTTGAATCTGAATAGATCTATATCTCTCATCAACTATGAACCAAGATAGAGAGTACTGTGCTTTCTGGAATCCTAGTTCTACATGGAACTTCTCAACCAACCTTGCTTGAAATCAAATATAGGAAGCATAGAGATCTATCGTTCACCAATAACAGAATCTAGTACAAGAATCTTCCTTATTCGCTATCTCAATCTCAATCTCAATCTCATCTATCTTCTTTTCCCAAAGTTTTATCATTTCTCTTCTCTCTGGCCCACGTAATTGATACTCCATTAAATAGAAACTTTAGAAGGCGAGTTGAAGAATTGGAACAAGATGCAGGCTTTCCTGAAGGGAATTACCTCACTTCCAATTGCTCCATTCATATGATACACGGATGGAATCTGGATAGAGATTGAGCTATAAGTCCAGTTACATGGAAAGTGAGGTAGTGATACAGAGGAACAAGGAGCATGCATATTTGGTATGCCAGGAGATGCTGTACTAGCTAGAATTGCTGCTGGAATCCAGTAGGAAAATAATTCCTGGCAATAATGGCAGGTGGTATGTAGTTGATTCATATGCTAAAACTGTTGTTGAACTTCCATCAGAGAGAAAATTCTTTTCCTACTGGATTCTAGCGACAATTCTAGCAAACACAGAAGCTTTTGGCATTCCAAACATGCATGCTCTTGTTCCTCTATATCACTGCCATATTCTCCATGAAACTGAACTTACAGCTCAATCTCCATCTAGGTCCCATCCATGCATCATGTGAATAGAGAAATTTGAAGTGAGGTAATTCCCTTCAGGATAGCCTGCCTCTTGTTTCTATTTATCAGTTTTACAGATTAGTCTCGTTTTCGGAAGCTGAGAGAGTAAATACAGGAAGAACATGGTAAACTCTAATTCCGCAGTTCAACTAGTGAATTTCCTAGTGAATCGCACCTCAAGGTTAATGAGCTGGGTTTTCGTGTTAAGTTAGCCCCAATCCAGGGGCGGCCCAAGGGTCAAGCCACTAAAGCAAAGGCTTTAGGCCCCAAATTTTAAGGGCCCCAAATTTTTCTTTTTGTTTTCTACTCGTACTTGTGTTGAGACCCCGACTAATCTAGATTCGTACCGCGTAAGGCCTAGTAAAAGAGAGAACACAGTTTAACAGGACATGACTCAAACCCAATATATCTAATTAAGGTAAGTTGGATCATATATATCTTCACAACAATCTTTAGAGGTACGGTCTAAATATATTGGGTATATTAAAATTAAAAAATAAAATATTTTATAAAAAGTAAAGATAACTTTTAATTTAGAATTGATGTAACCGTTTGAGCAAAAAATTGGAGAAAGAGAATCACTCCCCCTAAACCCTTGTCGCGAATATAAAACTTTTCATTATTTAAATTTTACGATTGACATCATTAGTGATGTACATATATTATTATTCTCCTTTTACATTTCTCACTAAAAACGTGTAATAAGCTTTTAGAATCCGTTTTTTGGTATCTTCAATAGTCCAAGTCTTATTTTTCATCTTTCTCATCAGAAAATTGGTACTATATCTTATATTCTCTTCTTGGTTTCTACAAAAAAGCTTAAGTTCTCGATAAGTTATATTGTTCTCTGTAGAAAGAAGAGAGTTTATTTTTTCTATAAAAAGCAAGAGTTGAAGATTACAGTTGAATAAAACTATATTGCGCATTCCTCCCCCCCCCCCCCCCCCCAGGTTTCAAACGGTTCAATAAGTATATTAGCACATCAAAAATTATTTCGATATCAAGTTATAAACTTCTTGAATATGGTATTGAGCAACCTCACCTAATAAGATACGTAAATAATGGAGCAAGGCATTAGACTGACTCCTCATATAATGACTAGGGAAATGTGGCATCTTTTCTTTGATCTGTGGTGCTTTTGACCTAAACTTTCACCTCTTTCTGTGTATAGAATTATAAAGATCGCTACTTATTTCTTCACTTCCTCTTCATGATTCTGTTTCAAAGGCAACAGTCAAGTTGGATGGAGTAATCTCTTATGCTATAATCTCTTCTACGATGACACCAACTCTTCTTCGTTGGCACTTTAACCATAAAGCAAAAATTTGATCAGTAATTAATTTTTTCTTTAGTGGAATAAGACTCCAGTCATATTAATATCTGCACATGCATAACCTTACAAGCGGTCAAAGAAATTATACTGCAGATACTACATATCTGATTTCTAATCAATGCTTCCTTTCTAGTTTCATGCACTCTCATCCGCTGTCATTAACCTTTAGTTTCCTTTTCAACCCTTCAAATCACTAAAAGAGACAATAAAGAGATCTCCTTCAAATAAAATACTAAAATACACAAAGCTAGCTGCTTGGGTAATAGCTTTTGGCTTTCACAAACTTTATTATCCTGGCTATTTTTCCAATAACTAATTTTTTCACTTGGTATTTTCTATAACTAAATTTTAGATTGACTTCTGCATTTTACCTTATACCATATTGCATGAAAAAGCTTTTTGAGCAATCAGTCGATCTCTCTTTCTTATGCAGGTAGCGTACACTGGAATGCTTTGTCAGGTTCTCTCCTACACTTGCCTCCAATGATAAAAAAAAATTAAAAAAAAGGGCAGCCCGGTGCACTAAGCTCCCGCTATGCGCGGGGTCCGGGGAAGGGCCGGACCATAAAGAACGGCCAAATAGAGTGAATCAGATCTTCACTAATACTCTCAACCCTTGAATATCTACTTTTTTGGATACAAGATCTTCATTGTTTTAATAACAGCAAATGAAGCTAAGCAATGTCCCGCATGAGCAGAAAAAGTAGGATGCAGTTACGCGCGGGAAGAATGTAAATTTCATTCAGATATCATTCCTTAAGCATTTATTCAAGCAGAAACTTTAAGCACAAATCCCTTACTTGAGCAATAATTTTGAGTATATGTTTAAAACAAGATTTACTCATTTACAGTATCAGTTTTAAATATGATATACGTGAGGCATAATCACGATGCAATTTGCATATATATTCAACATCCGCTTGTTTCTGCAACTGATACAAAAATTACCACAAAAGTACTTACACAGCATACTAATAGTCACTTTAGAGATCAATTCTTACCCATACATACATATTAGCCCGTTGATAACTATATGAGCTTGAAACAAGATAGGTAATATCTGAGGAATTCCTGAGGCCAAGTGACACACGGTTCGAAACTCGGTGGATAATGGGTTAAATACCAGGCTTTGTAAGGTTCCTGTAACATGCACCTATGCCAAACACCACAAGTTGTGCTTTTAACCGGGCAAGATAGGTAAAGACTATAAAACAAAAGGGGGATAAACAAAAAAAGATAGTCCTCTTTCTTCTTTCTGAAAAATTATAATTCAGATAATAATAAAAGAAATGCTCCCCTAAGTTAAATTATTTTGAAATTAGACTTCTTTATGAGTTCCCCTCCAAGTATTCACTGTTCTGCTTATGTCTCGAGTTTCAGAAGTATTTTTGACGTGAGGGAAAATGCATATAATTCAAAAGTTGAGTAAATTGTGGAAACAGTTATTCAGTAAAAAAAACGTGAAGCAAAGCAACAATGCATGCTCTTAATCACTTTCAACTACTTGTCTGGTTGATCGCAATCACAATGGAGAACATTGAGACTTAGAAAGGTTAAATTTTTTAATTTGGATATTTATGTATCAATAAGCTAGGGCATAACAAATATTCCGATACATACAGCTCCAAATTGACCTTTACCAAAAAAGAAGAAAGAAAAAGTGGTAAACAGGTAAGTGAAGCAAAATTTCTTCAATCATCAACTTTGTTCTGAGAAATATTTTGGGGAAATTTGCAATAGAGATAACAATAGAGACGGTAGGAAAGGAATTCTGTACCTACATCCACTTGGCCATGTGGGTGGTGATGACATCACTGCTAACGACTTGTCGAATTTTGAAGATGTTCCGGTAAGGGGTTTATAGGATATTCGTTGCGATTGACATGCCCGGTTCCTTCTGAATGCCGCCATTGTTGTTAGATATTCCAAAGTCAATAACTACTACTCCCTTTGAATTTAGTAAATAGTAGAAAAAAAGATGGCCAAATACATACACAGCCTATTAAACTTGGCCCAATATTTCATTTTGGCACTCTAACTAACTCATGTTCCATTTTGGCCCTCCAACTCCATTTTCTTTGTTCCACTTTAACACAAAAGCTCACTAGATTTAGTGTGTGATTTGCTTCCCCCTTTAGGCGCGTGAGGGACCATTTTTCAGCCAAATTTCCATGGCCAAATACATACACAACCCATTAACTTGGCCAAATTTTTCATTTTGGCACTTTAACTCAGCTTTGTTCCATTTTGGCCCTCCAACCTCATTTCTTTTGTTCCACTTTGACACAAAAGCTGACTATTTTTCATACTCCTAACGTGGAGGCGGATCCAAAATTTAAAGCATATGGATTCAATTTTAATGTTTTTAATATTGAACCCACTATATTTTTAAATATTATGGGTTCATATCTATTTTTTTACATTTTTAATGAATTTTTACATACAAATTTTTACTCTGCGTCGAAAGTTATGGGTTCAGTTGAACCCGATATGTTCAATGAGTTACACTTCTAGGCTACGAGGGGTTGTGATTTGTTGGTTATATGCACACATGGTGCGGTTCTATTGGGGTCTTATAGCAGAATTTGAGCAAGATGAGTAATTGGGTATTGCATGATTGATGGCGTATTGGCTATGTTCATTTGGGTTTTGTGTGGTATTATGTCATTTGCTTCTCCGTGGTTATGGTAATGCACTTTGGGTACTTGATGTTGAATTTCNCAGTGGGATGGGGGTAGCAGTTGGGGATTTGCACGCTCTACATTTTTACCTGGAGGAAAAAATTTTGTGTTAAAGTGGAACAAAAAAAAATGGAGTTGAAGTGCCAAAATGGAACAAGAGTTAGTTAGAGTGCCTAAATGAAATATTGGGCCAAGTTTAATGGGTTGTATATGTATTTGACCAAAAAGATAGTAGATGAGATAGTTACTTTTTGAAACTTATTGGGGGTAAAAACGTGACGATAAAATGAAGAGTTTAAAAATAAATTATTTTTAAATTTAGAAATGTGTATTTATCTTGGAACGGTCTAAAAAAAATTAACATAAGAACAATTGGGTATTCTATTTTTCAATTTTATAGCACATATTTCAATTTATAACCAACTAGCCCAAAAATAATAGGCTAGGATTCAACATCCAACTCCAATAGGTTCTCGAAATTACTATTTAATTTTTAGAAAAGATTGCTCAAGCTTTTAAGTTAATTTTTGAATCAGTAACTGTGATTCAAATATTAGTTCAACAAACCAAATCCATTTGGGTGGTGAAAATTAGATTTTTAACAAGCTTAAATATGTGGGTTCAAATTACAAATTTGATTTATTGAGAAATTTAGAGCGGGTGTTATTTAGAGTTGTTAAAAATAGTATAAGGAGGTTGTATATAAAATTTGAAGTCATTTAATGGAGATTTGGACTGGTTTTGAACAAGAATTACAACTGAAAATCGTGGAAGAAGTTCATTATAAAGACGTTTGTATAAAGGTGTATAAAAGTGTATAATAGTGTATAAGATGTGTTTATACACTCATATACACTATTATACAAGATTATACAAAAAACTGATTTCGTCTTCTTCCTTGCGTCTTTTCTGAAATTTAACTCAAATATTGCTCAAATTTACTCCAAATCGCTTCAAATTTAAATTTTGAACTCTCTTTTATATTTTCAATCAATTGGAACAACACCAAATCCAAACAACTAACAAACTCAAAAAATATTATTTTCGAAAATAAAACTTTGAATGGCCTTCAATGGTACTTCAACTCTTCAATTTTCTTACATAGCAACCAGATGACACAGGGGGAGAAGTGTTGGATATACTATTAACCACGCGGTTTAGACATAGTATTATATTTTGTTCTTTATGAAACAATTATTTATTTAATTTATTCAATTCAATAAAGCACTATTTTAAATAGATCATTTATAACATGTGTGTCCTTTGATTATGTAGTAGACAATTTAGTGTATGGAGTCTTAGCTCATACACAGAAGATTAAATTGTTGGTTCTCATAATTAATAAAATATGTTCACAATCGAAGATATTATCGGACGAAATATCTTGATGATTGTAGCATAAGATTATTGTATAATTTGTCTTGATTATGGGAGTAAGTCTACTCCAACTTCTTGTGCTAGTATACTCAGTGTATATTGAACGGACCAAGTAGAGAAAAGGTGTTTTTGTACTGAATACATATAAAACACTTTCTCTAATTCATTAAATGAGCTTATACTCCTAATCTTGATATAATTATTATGATCAATGTAATTTGTTTATTGTTTTATTTATCAAAAGGTACAACTCTATTTAGAGTTAGTATATGCCTAATAAATTGGACAATAACAAATAACATTTGTGAATAATAATTAGTTGATAGAATCCATGACTTGGTTTTAGAGTTTGATAATACCCCTTTATATAAGCTTATAAGTTTTCATGTGAAAACCCGGCCGGTGGATTTTGTATCCGTCACATGAGATAGTTTAAGCGAAATTATAAAGGATTTAATTAGTTAATTGAATTAAATTTTCAGTGATTTAATTTAATTAACTGGTATTTGAAATATTAACATGGGGAGTTAAAATAAGTGTTAATGAATATTCGAAATTCATATTGAGGAGTTCAATTGCAGTTTTTTAGTGGAATAAATTGCAATTAATTATAGTAAGAATTAATTCATGCTAATTTAGAATTAATACTATAATTAGTAGCCTCTTATTATTTTTGTGGTCCCTGCTATACCTAGTAAAAACCTGGACAGACTTGGGTAAAAAGTAGCTTGGGAGAAAAGTTACCCTTTTGAGTTGGAGTAGGATTCCACTTATGGAATCCTAATCCACACGATTTTGGGCTCTCTTTTAGGGCTTAAATTCGTGTATTTAAAACAAAAAGAGGAAGACAGGTTTCTCCTATCAACTAACCCTAGAGTTGTATTGTTCTTGCCTACCCAAAAGCAAAAGTGTTCAATGTTTTACCAGGCATATACCAGAAGACTACAGCCCTGGATTCTTGCTGCTTGGAGAATTTGTGCAACTGTTTCAAGAGGTTAGTGTTCCTGATCTCGTTATTGTTGCGTTGTCTAGTTTACATGTAATTGATGCCTGATTATATGCTTGCTTCCGCTGCGCATGTTCTAACAAGAAGCAGTAATGGCGGACGACCCCTTGAAGCATATGTAGAATATGAGAAGAAGAGAGAGTGAAAGCAATGATTGTGAGAATACGGATTAACTCCATAGTTTTTGGAAGCAATGGTTGTAAGAACACAGATTTTGAATTTGCACTAACTTTCAAAATATGGGCTAGGTTGGGTAAAACTTAAAAACATGATCCAGTTTTTGTTATGGTGTGAAGTCACGTGTATTTTCTTGTAATTCTTTCAAAAAAAAATACCTCATCTAATTTGAAACGGAGGCAGTACAACCTACCGTTAGAAATGTTTTCATGTCCTAGAAAATGTTTGACTTTGATATACGCTTTTTATAAAACCATTTCTCGGCTTTTGTCAGATATGAAAATTTTGAAGAAAAAAGATATGAACATAGATAGGAAGATTTAGCATGGTGATATTTTATTGATTAAACGATAACAATAATATTATTGGATGAGTAAAAGTCGAATTATGTGTAAAGAAAATTGAAATTTCGCAACTAAGGTGTGACTCACTGGTCAATAAAGTAGGTGAAAATCATGAGGTTTCAGGCTGTAGGTAATCCAATAAATGAATGATACAACTCGAATGAAAGATTATCGATAATAATAACTAATAAGATAAAAATCTGTACAATTACCACAAGGATTGATAGACAAGTCATGAGCAATTAAGATTTAGATTTACAAAGTTGGTATAATGCAACATCTTTTTGAATATATATAAGCAAAAGTACAAATCCTAAATTACCAAGAACAAGTAGTAGCTTATATTTGGAATACATGTACATCTTCAATGCGAGCCTTGTCATCCACAACGGCTCAGCTTGAAGATTCGCATGCAAGGTGCAGAAGTGTAGTATGAGTACAACCGATCCATGACTCAGTAAGTATCCTAACTAACCTCGTTGAAGTAGTAACGAGGTTTCAGGTCAAGGATACTCACTTTGCATAACATGTACAGCTCAATAAACACACACACGCACACACACACATATATATATATATATATATATATATATATATATAAAACACACACACACAACAGTATCGAAATATAACCTTGAAGTTCGGATAAGGCTATCAATGTACATAGAGAACATATGCACAAGCATTTTAATAAACTAACAGTTCAACATATAGAGAAGGTACGCATTTGCTATCAGATAACACGTCAGTAATTGCATATAGAGAAGATATGCACAAGTATCGTACCAGTTTAACAACTCAGCATATAGGGAAGATATCCGCGCAGCTTTATTAGATCATCAACAATTGCATATAGAGATCATAGGCATGAAGTATCACCAATTCAACTACTGTTCCATATAGAGACGATATGCTTGAATGAGTAAGTCAAGTTACACAGATTGATATACAGAGAAGATATGTATTTCGAATGAATCTTAAATTATGTGGCATATAGATTAGCTATGAATAAAAGGTATGTATACATTCCGGAACTATCATATAGAGAAGATACATAGTAAAAATCATGTATACTTTCAAGGAGTCTGCATATAGAGAAGATACACCAGTGATCAGTTTTCCATAATCGGCATGTACGTCATCAAGGAGAATCATGAGAGAATGACCCTAGGGGGGTGGATCATTATTCACACACTGCACGGACCACTCACGTGCCATAATCATAACTACCACATAGAAAACTCACGTGCCATAATAACTCAACCCGCACGGACCACCTACGCACTGCCAATCCAGTCCATCACATGGAAAGCATATACAAGAATACATGTATACAAATTAATGAATATCAAATCATGTACTCGTGGATTGATAAATAACATGCTAAAGTGTATGCATGTGCGAAATATACAATTACAGCTCAGGTTAGGCGAGTACGCCATACAACAACGAATATCGTGTTCAAACAAAGAATCAACACCTACACATGATCTCTAGCATGATTCAAGAGGTTCACACGATCGTTCAAACATAATAAGCATGACAACATGAATCACAATATCCAAAACAAGGCATGGTATATCCTAAAGACTGTTCCGTCATGAATCATACATAGCACCGGTATACACGCTTGTCACCTCGCATATACGTCGCTTATCGCATATTCCGATTAGACAAATAAGGTCATTTCCTAAGGGTTATTCCCTCAACAAGATTAGGCAAGATACTTACCTCGTTCGAGCTAGTCCTCAACCTCAAATCGCGTAGAAACCTCGCTCTAACCCTCCAATCTCACAAATCAAAGCCAAACATCAACCAAGGAAGTCAAACAATGCTATAGGAAGCGATCCCAATCCATAAGTTTTGGTCTTTGAAGAATTCTCAAAAAGTCAACTCGGGCTTGTGTGCTCGACCAATAGCAAATATCGATGATCATAATTTGCCGAGTCCAAATATGTAATTAAATTTCAAAACTAAGTCCAAATCAATACTCAAATTCCCAAAATATACTCTCTTAAAGTGTAGTCAAAAACCCCAAATTTCATTAATAAATTCCATGATTAAGGTGTGTAAATCCATGAAAAATTAAGATATATAATCAAATATAAGTAGAAATTACTTACCCACAAAGTAGTAGTGAATATCTCCTCCAAAATTGTCTCCAAAATATGTAATCATCATGCATAGATGAAGTAATTTAGAAAGAAATTATTAGGCAGAATAAGATACAATCAAATTAATTTTTTTAAGGATTGTTTGTACGTATTTGTCGAATTTGGATGCCTTATGTGATACAACTGCATTTATAGGATAAAGGTACAAGTTTTAACACTCTCATAAATTGAATAACACGTGGGAAAATAATGTTTTAATAAAATATCATGCATCATTTTTATAATAATTAACATGAAATATGTATGTGTGCAATGAACGTATCCAAATGGATGTAAAGCTTGGAGATCTTTTTATATTTCAATCAGAGTCCGCTTATATAATATTTTTGTATAATAAAACAAGTATCGGAACAAACTGAAATAAGAACCACTCTACCGGAACCCCTAAAAATGATTAACGTTTATCAGTTTTAAGAACTTACAATTTTCAATAAGTTTTATTTTATAACGCACACATATTTTGAATATTATTCATGTTATTTTAAAAAAAATTATTATTATAGATAAACACGTGCAACGCGTGTACTCAAAGATTAGATAACGAAAAGAGTGTATTAAAGAGGACAAATCAATCACTTCACACTCTTTTAGGGGTTAAAAATAAATGTATTCGAAAAATTATTATAAAATAATTAAAATAAGGGAGGACCTGTAATGTCGTAAATCACAAAAAGTCTAGTGTGAGACAAACTATTTTTTTGCACATACGTGGCAATGACCAATTGGGTAGTTCTTACACAATGACGCACAGAGCACATAAAACTCCTTGCTCCTCCTCCCACTCCCCTGCTATGGCTATCAAAAATTGAAATCGCTAATTAATCATATCTATCTTATAAATACCAATAGAAACAATTTACAATCTTCAGGAAGATAAGGCAACTTAACAGGTAAATTTTACTTGACATAAACACGAAGATTTATTTTATAGATTAATTCATCATCTTTACCTGTCTTCTAAAACTCTGTAGTAGTAATCTATAATTTTCAAGTTATTCTCATGTGTTCCTAAGTTGTGAATTTGTTTCTCATTAGGTCCTAAATTACGATTTAGAAAACTCTACATTTGAATTTAAATCTGGTAGAACTCATTCAACGATATCAACTTTATTCAGGTTCTGGTTATAGAAAACGAAGATCACCAGTAATAATGATCAGACTGATAAGGTTTTACGCGTGTATATATGTTGAAGGCTATCTATTGACATTCATGCTTGTTTATAGGTCTATGCAGAGGCGGAGCTAGAATTTCAAGCTTATGAGTTCAACATTCTAAACCTTTTAAGTTACTGAGTTCTAAATTATTAATTTATAACTAATTAATGAATTTTTCAAGACACAGTCAGGGTTTGAACCAAAGCTACTGGGTTTACCCACAATGCTAGCACAGCGCCTGGGTCTATGATATTAAAGATAAAGAAAGTAATAAGATTGTATCCATCTTGAAAGCTTGTTAGTTGACAAAATAGTATTTGTGTGACAGGACAACAATAATTAGGCCTTAGTCCCAAATAAAGTTGGGGTCGGCTGTTTGTGTGACAGGGTTAAGAAAAAATGATGAGACTACAAACTTATGCCGGGCTTAGTGTAATAGCTACACTAGCTGCTATTTATCATGCCTTTAGCAGTAGAGGCCAGTTTTACCCAGCAATGGTTTATTTATCGACATCTAAGATCAGTCTGGTGCTTCTCCTCAACATGGGTCTCGCCATTATGTGCTTTTTATGGCAGCTGACCAAGAAAGTTTTCCTTGGTACTCTTCGGGAGGTAGAGGTGGAGAGGCTAAATGAACAATCATGGCGGGAACTCATGGAAATACTTTTTGCAATTACTATTTTCCGGCAAGACTTCTCTGTGATGTTTCTTGCCATGGTTACCAGACTATTGTTTATCAAGTCTTTGCATTGGTTGGCTCAGAAACGGGTTGAGTATATTGAAACAACTCCAGCGGTTACTAAGTTGTCCCACATTCGGATAGTCTCTTTGATGGGCTTCCTCCTCCTCATTGATAGTATCTTTTTGTACAACTACATGAACCATTTGATACAGACAAGACAGGCTTCTGTTTCTCTCTTCTTTGCATTTGAGTAAGTCATGTTGTTCTAATTCATTTCTAGTCTTTTTTCTGTCTGAATATGTGCTATGATTTTTAAAGTTCTACTGCTAGTCTAGTTGTGCTTTTGGACACTTTTTAGATACATGCCAGGGGTCGGAGTAGCGCTTCATTAGACTGGATACCATTAGATTGAGTTATACAATTCATGCCTTTGCCTTAAGTAAACACTTAGTTGGGCTTGGGGCATGGGGATATATGACACTTTACAAAGATAATTTGCTTTGTATTGGGTCTGGCAAAGGGAGGGTGTTGGATCTTTGCACCTGCAAATGCTGTTTATCTTTTTGATGCAGTTCTTTCGTTGTTTATATTCAAACTAGACATAGATGCTTTGAAATTTACCATTAAAGCTGGTATCATTTCAGAACTGTGTTAATCATTAATGCTAATCAATTGTCATTCTTGGCTCATTCATCATGGCTTTTGTGCATATTTACCTTTTATGGTGACAATAGAAGATCCATCACGAGGACCTTTCACAGGTGTGCTTACTTTGAAATGATTTTTCTACCTGATGTATGCTGGAATCACGTTAGTAAATCTGGCCACCAAGTGCAGTTTGACCATATAGCTGCTATCGTTTTACCAAGTACAGTTTGATCATATTAATTATCTGTGTCCCATATCCAGCTCCTAAATGAAATTTTAACCTTTTACCTTTTTGTCATTGTCTCTCAGGTACATGATACTCACTACAACAACTGTTGCAACATTTGTGAAATATGTATTCCATGTATGTGACATGCTTATGGAAGGACAATGGGAAAGGAAGGCCGTATATACTTTCTACTTGGAGCTTATTCGGGACTTGCTCCACTTGACTATGTACATGTGCTTCTTCCTCATGATTTTCGTGTAAGTGAAATTTTATTTTATTTTATTTTCTTCTACTCCTCCTCCTCCTTTCTTCCTCCTGATATTGATTAGTCTAAGGAGAGTGTCCAAAATAGAGGAAAAGATCTTTTTCTTCCCGTTGTCTTTGTTTATTTATTTATTTTCCTGAACTTTCAGCAATTATGGTGTGCCTCTGCACTTGATTCGGGAACTTTATGAGACATTCCGCAACTTCAAGAGTCGAGTTGCTGATTACATACGCTATCGAAAAATCACTTCAAATATGAATGATCGTTTTCCAGATGCTACACCGGAAGAGCTCAATGGGTAAGTTGCTCACTATTGGATTCTTGGTTCATATGGTTTCTTCATCACTTTCTTCATCGTTATGGTTACATTTAATGCTCTTGCAGAGGTGATACCATCTGTATCATCTGTCGTGAGGAGATGATCACTGCCAAGAAACTTGTTTGTGGACATCTCTTTCATGTTAATTGCCTCCGGTCATGGCTAGAACGTCAGCACACATGTCCTACATGCAGAGCCCTTGTTGTACCACCTGAAAATGGGACGAATGTTGCACGATCTCGATATGCTCAGCAAGGTATCACCTATAATTTTCCATTCTTTATATTGTGTATCAACTGTAATAAGTAAGGGCCCGTTTGGATTGACTTAAAAAAAGTGACTTTTAAATTAAGTGCTTAAAAGCACTTTATAAGTGCTGGAACTTATTTTATAAATAAGCAGTTACGTGTTTGGATAAAAGTGCTGAAACCTAAAAAAAAACTGATGAAGTGTTTGGTAAACAAGTGCCGGTAAACACTTTTTCTTATTAAAATGACTGAACTATCCTTAAAGTTGGCATGGATCAAACAACAATAGAGGTGGCCGGCGAGCGTTAAACCAATCATTTTGAAATCACATAACAAAGACCAAAAAGGGTGTCCAAATGTTGCAGGAACATTCCCTGCAAAGCGTGCCCACAAAATGCCAACGCTTTGTTGCTAGTTTTGAGTGTTGGTTCATGTTAAAAGGCCAAAATTCCTCCATGTTTCTAAAATTCATAGCTACCCCCGCTGCAACTTAATCACAAAAAAAGTTGATTTCTTGATTAAAGATAATATCTTTGAACCAATTCAGTAAATACCCAGAAATGTTTTACCAAGAAAAACAGTTCAAGAACCCCAAAAAAATGCTTTCTTGAATCAATTTTTTTTTGGGGTTTTAAATGTTTTAGAGTCAATTTCTTGGAGTTTGATGTTTTTCAGCAAATTAAGGTTTTGGGTATGACCAAAACACAAAGATTTGGTTGCAAGATCCAAGAAAAATTTTTGCGGAAAGAAAGGAAAGGAAAACGAAAGGGAAGGAAAACAATTTTGCTGAAAGGAAAGGAACGCCAAAAAGACGAAGAAGAAAGCATAGGCTGCTAATGGAGAAAAGAAAAAAAATACTGCAGGTTAGTAGGTTTGTACTCAGGGGTAATTTCGGGATTAAGAAAAATTATAAGGGATAATAATGTAATATACTTGGTCAAAGCAATATGGCTTTTAAGCCAATTTCGAAAAAGTTGGGTTTACCCAACTTGTTGATTTTGGCTTTTTTAAAGCAGATTTTAGCTTTTTTTAAGTCATTTGTGTAGTTGCCAAACACTTCTAGAAGTCATTTGACCAGCTTTTAAGCCCATCCAAACGGGCTCTAAGTTGGAATGACACCTGGAAATTGATGCTTAATTTTCTAAAATGTTGCTCAACATGGCTTTTTGCTATAGTAGAATCGAGTTTAAATTACCCATTTCCTTGTAACTAGTTTATGGTCAACGCGCTTACTAGTTTCTGGGCACACACGTTGTGCGTGCACCTTTTATCAATGAATACAAATTTTTTGAGAACCATATGAAAATTGTGTGTGAGTTACAAAATAAAATTTAAGGAAAAAATTTAATTTCCCAAAGATGATGAATGTTAATTCTGTATAACTAATTCAGGAAGAAACCGTAACTTCCAGAAGTCCTCAGATTGACGCTTTTGTGTATATAGCTGCTATTAAGTTTCAAAGAGAACCATCAATCTACGGCGGCAACCCCAACAACCCTTGCTGAAACTGGGCCAAACCATGCATTCTTAAGATGTGGCTGCATTCTACTTAGTGAATCGCGTGATATGGCTTTCAAGTTTCAACTGGCTGAAACTTTTTAGAGGTCCTTGAGCATGAGTATATTCTTATGGTTATTGAGATTTGATACCGATAATTGGTTTGATGCAAAAGAAATAACTGAAAGGAAGCGAAGATGCATGTCCGCCATCTGACTAAAATGAGAAAATAAGAAAAAATTATGGGGTTCCATGCAACACATAGAACAAACTAAGTAAAAGTAGAAGATACAACAACTGAAAGAAAAAAGATCAGTCTAGACTCTAGACATCTCTGAATCTCCAAAAACTCAAAATAATACAGGAAAAATAAGAGCCTCGATACAATATGCTCAGAGGATATAAGATTGTCATCTTTCATATGTAATGCTCTAGCAATTTAGCAGGCATAAAAAGATAAAATTGAAACATGACAGAGGATCTACAATGTCTTGTAGACTTAGTACGAAGGAAACATTTCTCTAGGCTAAAAGGCAAGCAATGGTAATGATCACAACATTAAGTAAGCATAGAGAAGTATGTTGAAAAATATTATTGAAACATGAGCTTTTAGAAGAGCCAAAGGTATAACTCGAACAAATTAATAGCCAAAATGGGTCACCTGAAAGTTCAAAGGTTGGGGAAATTTACCAATCATTATTATTTACTCCTACGAAATACTTTTTAACGTATTTGTATACTAATTTTGAAGGACTAACGCACTGAAGGGTGACGGTTGACTCTTTTGTTCTTACTAGTTGGATGTTTCACTCTTGAGCTTTAATACACCTTCAAAGGCCTCATTAATATAGATGGCCAGCTGAATAGGTTCACGTTTTTGGTCATCTGAACGGACCTACATTTTGCATACCTCCTATTTTAGTTTATTTTTTGTTATCTTTATCGAACTTTTTCTTTTTTGTTATTTTTGTTAAATGTGTATTTACATTTTTTATCAAAATATTTTGAAATAATACTTACTTCAAGGGCAAAAGAATCTTTCAATATCTAAAGGTTATTTTAGTCTTTTGACTTTTCACTTTGGGGCTTCATGCTTAAAATATAGTATGATAAGATGTTTTGAGCATTAAACTTCAGCTGAAGTATGTTGATTATAAGTGAAGATAACATGATTGTAGTGGAATAAATTGTTTTATATGTTAAAAGGAATAGTTCTTTTGGTGCACACTAAATAATTGTGTCCCTACTTGTTGATTGTCATCTGTTATTTCTTTTCTTAAAAGATGTAGTGCTTATAGAAACTCATCTATAGCTATTGGAAACTTGGGTATTTCTTTGTACAAAGTGATGAATGTTCTGGTATCTGTTCACTAAACACTCCGGTATCTCTAATGGGCCCAGGAACAAGTTTTACACCTCAAGGTTCGCAAGCAGATCCCAGGACAAACAGCCATGTTAGCCAGCACCAGGCTAGACTCCAAGCTGCAGCTGCTGCTGCTGCAATTTATGAGAAGTCCATTGTTTATCCTTCTGCACAGATTCTACCCTGGTATTAATTATCTCTTCTGTGTCTACATTTTATTGCTCATTTTCTTTGCATATTTATGAGACCTTTCCCTCAGGAGTGCATGTAAATGGTGAAACCTACCTGACTATCTTCCTTGATAAGCATAGTTACATTGACACTTCTCCATGTTTTCGATGGAACATGGTCTCCTTTCTATTTCTAAACAAATCAAAGTAACTGTTGGTCCCCATTTTTTCCAATCGGTAATCTCGTTTAGCTCCACTTGTTTTCTTGATTAACATTAAAGAATAAAACTCTCTGCAAATTCAAAAGCACGCGGTCCATTTGAAATGAAGGGAGAAGGGAATCATGAGTTGTCATTTAATGTATGTCATTCGCATCCCTTTGAAGATATTCACATAAGCACTTGTCATGTTGTGGGTCTGCTTTATATTCAATGAGTTTCATTGGAGATTTGTCTTGTCATGGAACCCTTGACTTTATAGCAGGTGAATGCTAATTAAATTGTCCATAACTGGCATGAGAAATGACTTCCAATATGTATTTCCTTGATCATGTGGTGTGAACTGGTGGTAGATGCAGCGTGGTGGTTACCACTTCTAGTTTTTGAAAGTGTACCATCCAAACCCCCCCCCCCCCCTCTTTTTCTCTCTCTTTTTTTGTCAGTTGACGAGGGGATGGTTCTCTTTTTTTTAGTATCCTAGTAAATTTCTTAGTTCTTATAAACATAGTGAAAGAACTCTAATTAATGTTCTCAATACTCAGCTATGTTGGTGCTAACATGCCTTTTGGAGATAGTTCTTGGAACAACCTTAGTACTTCAGATACTCAGCTGGAGGCCCATAGGATATTCTTACAGCAGCAGATTGAGGTAAGGAAGTCTGGTTGATTGGTTTCTCTCTTTTATGTTTGTGATATCGTGCTCCTATTACTCTCAGATGGATTGCTAATTTCTATATGCACTAATCATTTTTGAGATAATTTCTAGGTGTAGTTCAATATTCTCTGTGGAATGATGTATAGCCTTGTTGAGATAAGCATGGACCATAGAGCGCTGGAAATTGATGTATAGCCTTGTTGATCAAAAAAGAAATTTGATGTATAGACTTCTTGATCAGAAATGAAATTGATGTATAGCTTCAGCCTGTATAAGGTCACATTGTAGCGGATTAGAGTCTCATTTTTAAGATTGTTTCTTCTTAGCCGTTCTTTTTCTGGTAAACTTTTTTCTTATTCGATCTTTCACAGAAAGCAATGTTATTATATCATATATGTAAGGAAACTTCATTTGTGAATCCAGGTTCTGCGAAGCCAGCTCATGCTTCTACAGAGTTCAAAGACGCAGAAAGCAGCTGCTGCTGTAGGAGCTTCAGATGGCAAGGGAAAAGCAATTTCGTTTGAGAGTGCTCAAAAAGGACAGGCTGAAGGTGCAGATATTTAAGGCTTGATCATCTGTATATAAAGTGCAGGTTGAATTGTGGACATTCAGTTAGAATGGCAGCTGAACAATGCTATTTGTTAGAGGATCTGTCAGTTGTGTTTTCTCTAGCGATCTGGAAATAGTTATATTGCTGGTAAGAGAGATGATTTCTGTCTTGTGATGTATTTGGTTCTAGAGGATCTCCAATTCATGCATCCCTGTAGAGTCTCCACTTCACTTAGGTACACATCAGTTCATTTAACTGAATTTGGTCCATTAGCAAACTAGGTAAACAGGTATGACAAGAATGTTTATATTTTAGCACAAGATCAGGAAAACTGAAATTATCAGTATCAAATGCGCAATAACAATATTTGTTCATCCTTAAACTCATAACATACAGGCTACAGCAAACTTCCATTGTGCTATCTTTATCATAAATGGCAACTTCAAACCAAAACTGCCTTACAGGTCAGACAGGTTCTTGAATTGGCCTCCTTATTTCAGCACCAGGAATAGGTGTTATATGTACAGGGCATTGACTTGTTGCGAGGAAATAATTATTGTTTACTGGTGGAAGTAGTGGTGTATTTTCTCATAGAGATGCAGTAAGTATGATATTTGGTCAAAGATATGTAAGGGAAATTGGCACAAACTCATTTTTTGAGAAAGCAAATGGTTCTCTCTCATTTGGTCTGCAGATTCAGATATCTTATTTGTCGGAATAATGTATAAGTTGGTGATTCCTCCAGCTTGTTCCCAACTCGGTTTTATTGCAGTCAACTTGTTGAATGTGGTTATATATAGGTTTAATGGATATTTTCTATGCAATAATAATTCTGGTCCCATTGCTTCCCAACAAGTTCCCTGTAGACGCAGTTACTATATATCTATATCTATATGTATATTTCATTAATTTTTTTTTTGTTGATAATACAATGCCTTCGTTTTCCTCTTATAGATTTCGGGTTCTTTGATCGGCAATTTTGTTACCAAACTTACCATTCAAATGCCCAAGTTGCTCGAGAACAATTTAAGTGATAACTAATTCTAAGAAAATGGCAGTTTTGTACAACTGTCTATTGATTAAAATTTTCAATTGGATTAATAAGGGAAATTACGAGCTATGTCTATTTATAAGTAGCTCATTATAAAAATTGGCCAATTGATAAAATATTACTAATATGAGCCAAATTACCCAATTAGCTATTTGTAGCAAAAAAATATCAAATTTTTGCTTTGTTTTGAGTGAGTGTTATTAGAATAGATTGGCACAACTTAAGGAGCTTGAATCTCAGTTTTGGGATGATTTGGTGAAGTTTTGAGGTGGTTTCAATTGAAAATTCGAATTAAAAGCTGAACATGAAAAAAAAATGATATGTGTATCACACTGTGTATTTATGTATCACATATGTATCATATTTGTATCAATTGTGTATCACATGTATATCCATGTATACCTGTGTGTGAGATACATGCATGATACATGTTAGATACATGTGCGCAGAAGATTTTTTTGAACTCGATTTAATTACGAATTTTGATACAAAATCAGTCCAAATCACCTCCAATCTTCCTCAAATTTTGTATATTGACTTATCTATATATTTTCAATGAATTTCAACTATACCCATTGAAAAAGTTCCTTTTTTGTTTAGATTTTTTGAATATTGTATAGATTTTTGTATTTCATCACCTTATTTGCTACACCGTTCATGAAATTTCCTTTCCGTCTTGTATCTAATGTTGCTAATCACGCTTAAAAATATGGAAGATGATTTTTGCATGTGATTATTTGATAGAAAGAACCCTATTATTTGATTTTTTAATTTTTGTTGGCTAGTTTTGAGAAGCGTATAACTAATGGCTAGAGGTTGGTAAGTTGAGATTTATTTGCGACATTTGTGTAAGTTTGGAACGCAGCTCATCGATATTGGGAAAATAGAATATGTAGGAGTAAAAAAAACAACTCCTTCTATTGACGCCCATGTCAATATGATATTAGTTTTATGCCTGGAAGGCTTGAAGTGTTTGGCTGCAAGGGCTAATTCAACGTTCAAACTTATATCACATATACTAATAGTTAAATAAACTAGAACAATAAGCACCAAGAACCCAGGATGCATACGATTCTTGGTAGTGGGGAATTAATCTTATTAAAGAATGAATATATCCTAAGATTCAAGACAACTAGAATAATTAAGATAATTCTGACGTAGGCAAGGTAAAATAGAACAACAGTAATCATGATACAACTGAAATTCACACTTGTGCAAGGTTCAAATGTGACCTCTTCTCCATAATTGACAACCAAATATTATTATCCCAATGAGTTGAATATTGGTTATTATATTTATTACAGACTCTAAGAAAAGTAATATGAAATAAAATTATATTCCCATCATATGACTATATATTAGTACAATATTTTTACTTGAGGGAATATAAATGTTAACGCCTAAAAAATGGACAGTGATATGAAAAATGAAAAAGAGATATAACAAAGAATTGATCGAAACTCCAACGTAGTACGAGTATTAGTTAAAAGACCATATTTGCAAAAGTAATCCATTTCCAGAACGGAAATAAAAATTCCATTTCCACGGCTAAAACAATGGCATGAAGGAATATACATGGACTTCTTTTTTCAATAACAAATAAAAAAGGAAAGAAAGAATTAAAGAACCTCAAAAAACAAAGGAAAAACAACGGCAACGCTACCTTCTCACCAAGGAGCGTTTCTTCTGTTTCTCAAATCGATCATCAAATTATAGTTATGGAATAGCTTGGATCTGACTCGTTTTTGGAGAAAACAAAAGGCGGAATGGGACAAGCCTTTCGCAAGTTATTTGATACCTTCTTCGGCAACTCTGAGATGAGGGTAAATGCTCAAACGCTCACTTTTTATTTTTCCATTTTGTAATTAAATTCCACTTACTTTGGTTCATGATTATGTTAATCTTAAGTGACTCTGACTTTTGATCCGTGTCTGAGTTAAGAGACGATAATTATATTTAGTTTGTCTTTTTTAGCTATTGGACTGTTACCTTTATTAAGAAGCAGGTACCTTATGGACCAAGTCGAGGTCTTGAAAATACCTCTTTTTAGTCTTACCTTAATTAAGAGTCTTGTCTAGGTTAGGAATTTAGGGGTAGGAGTTATATATAGTTGTTGTAAAGGTTTCTTATGATTATTAAATTTGAGGTTTAACTCCATTTTTTTGGGATTTTCTGTTCTCAAGGTTTTAAGGACACGTTCTTCAATTTCCTTACAATTTAATAGCTTCCATCCAACATTTTATACCTTTTTTTTGTTTGGTCATTCCTGAGTGGATGCTACAACTTGAATCTTGGCGTTCACAATGTTAAGTATATAACACGGGGGCTACATATTTTTGTGGAAATTGAGTGATACAAAGTAATACGGAGTAACATGTTTGAGGTTGCTGAGGAATGAATGTAATATGCAGGGTTGAATTTAGCTTTAAAGCGTCTTCATGTGGCTTATGGAGAAACTATCAGCCTTGGGTTTTCATATTAGTTGTATATTGTGATTTTTCTGAACAGAGAAAGAGTAGCTTTCACTGTATTTTATAGGCGTCTTTGAACTGGTTGACATACACAGAGTTCACCAATCTGTGAAATGATTTATTCTTTGTATGTGTCTACGTGAGTTGGAGAACTTGGGGTTGATTTCTTCGTTTATCCTCTATCCCAACATCTGAGGGTTAAAAGACTTGCCATTGAGGGAGCAAATTGAGTATAAGTACTTAGAAAATAAAGTTAAATATTGGTGCCTTAGCAATTATGATTCTCTTTTTTTTTTTTTTTGGGGGGGGGGGGGGGGTACAACTTCCATTTATCAACTTTTCTTCATTAGCACATTACTGTTTTCTTCCTTCTGGCACGCTGCTGTTAGTGGTAGTTCTTGTTCAGTAGTGCAGTTGCTGTGCTTCTGCTTCCTTTCTGACTTCAATTAAATGCGCTGCTGTAACTAATGTTTAAACCCGGTCTTGTAATTCACTTAAATTACTTGTTTTCTCTAAATACTAAAATTGAATTCATTAAAATAGACAGTAATATGCACTGAAGCTAGTTCAGTAAGAACCGGTGAGAATAATCTAATTGTACCCATTTATGTCCTATGTAGGTGGAATAAAAAGTGAAAGTCCTGCTCCCTTCTATACCATTCTTTTTCCTCTAGGATGATTTCCACTTAGTGCAGAGTGCCAGCTACCAAGTGGCTTGATATTGCTGAGGGACCTCCCAGTTCTGCAAAGGGCCTCTAAAGCAGGCGGAGTAAACATGCAAAGAACCTAAAATGGTCATCTTTAGATCATTAGACACCTTCAATTTGTCAGATATGATCTGGTCTTTTGCCATCATCCTTATTTTTTTCTTTTCAAATAGGTAATCATCAAAAATTTCGTATGAAGTTCTATCTCTCATGAATCATCTTCTGCCTTAGGTTATTAGTCTATAATGCAGTGCCCACATTGCTGACAACATAGGGAGGGGTTTGGGGGAAGGGAATGGAAGAGTTTCTTGGAGGCAAAACCAATTTGTTTCCCCAATGACTTTTACCCCCTCTATTGAGAATAATTACTAGAAGTTGGTAGATTTCGTAGCAGGCTTAAGTATGCAAGTGATGCTTATTTCTTATCATCCATGCAATCAGTTTTCATAGGTCATGGCCTTATGTTCACTGCATGGCTTTTGTCTCTGATTATTTTCTTAGCAGATTATTCTTGTCGTATGTGTACAATATCTTATACATTTTTGCTATGATTTGCTTGGCATAGGTTGTAATGTTAGGGCTGGATGCGGCTGGAAAAACAACTATATTATACAAGCTGCATATAGGAGAAGTTCTGTCTACAGTTCCTACTATTGGTATGCAAATTGCTTTAGATCTCGCTCTCAGTGGTGTGGCACTTGATTATTAAAATGTGTAATTGGAGCTTCAATTCAGGATCTGATTGCATCAACATTGTTCTCAACATGACAACTTTGGTGTTTTTTTTTTTCAATTTCTTGATTGCTTGATGAATTTGAAGTTTCAACTAATTGTAATATGACCTATCAATGTCAGATGCAAAAAATATAAAAGCCCCAAGATCTGAAATATATGATAGATTTTATGAGCACCCTACATAGCTAATAGGGGGTTGTTTCCTTCTATATTCAGAATGTATATCCAAATTTTGGCCATAAAAATGCTTTTTCTTATTTAATAAATACTCTGTAGATTATTAATGAATTATCAGAGAAAATGGGATTTTTCATTACCTAGGATATGGTTGATGTTGATAGATGTGTAAGGTAGGATTTGCTGAGTATTGTTGATTTTGTACTATTTCAGTTCACAAAATAAAGTGGATCTTCATTACTAGGAGAACTACATGTGCAATCTTTTGTCTGAGAAGTATTCGTAGTTCATTGAAGATTGCATCAACACTTGTTACAAAGAAGGTACTTTAATAGGCCATGCTAGAGGTAGTTAAAAACTTCATGAACCGCATCAACACTTGTTACAAAGAAGATACTTTCATCAACACTTGAGGCCGTCACTTAAGATGACATCGTAGTGGTTGCAGAAGGCACAAATTGGAATCTCAAATTTAGCAATGGAAATTCCTTCCTGTTTGGAATATCACAAAGTTTTACAGAAATGAGTAATTGCACTGT